CATGCAGGTGCATGCACATGCACGTCGGCGTCTTGGCGAACGGCCAGCAGCAGCGCAGCAGCCGGCGCAGCGGCAGCCCAGTCCGGCAGCCCACGCTGGCACGTCGGCGTCTTGGCGAACGGCCAGCAGCAGCAGCCGGCATGCGCGCCCACGCAGCACGGCACGAACAGTAAGACGCGCACGCCCGCGGCGCGCAGGTCCACGGCGGCGGCGCCTGCGTGATCGGCGTGGCCCTGCGGGAAGTAGTAGACGGGCACGGCGCACAGGGAGCCCGCGCACGCCTGCCACAGCTGCGGGTGCACGCCGCACCCCTCGGGCTTCGCACGGCCAGCGGCGGCCTCCGGCGATGGGGCCGGCGGGGGCATCTGCGCCGCGAACGTGAGCGTCGTCGTCCCGAGCCGCGTGGGCGCGCAGGCTCCAGCAACAGACATGACTGGGTCATCGGCAAGACGCTGGGCTTCTACGTCGCCAGCTCGCAGGACGGCACCAGCAAGACCATCGTGCTCACCGCCATGTTCGAGGGCCCCGAGGCACCGCATGGCGGCCACACGCTCAGCTTCTTCGGGATCCACCGCATGGCCGCACCGGAGTCCCACATCGCCATCATCGGAGGCACCGGCAAGTACGAGCACGCCAAGGGCTTCGCCACCATCCAGACGCTGCACCCTGGCGACGAGCACACCACCGACGGCAGCGAGTGCTGGTGCGGCCGCGACGGGCAACGCAGGAGCCGCCGGCGCGGGCGTGGGCGACCACCCGCTGACGTTCTTCATGCACGACATCCTCGGCGGCTCGCAGCCGTCGGGGCGCATCGTGACCGGCGTGGTGGCGAGCGCGGCGGCCAACGGGCAGCTCCCGTTCGCGCGCCCCAACACCAACATCTTCCCGATCCAGGGCGCGATGCCGCTGCCGCAGGGCGCCAGCAACCTCATCAACAGCAACAACGTGCCCTACGTCGCGGGCCTCGGCGGCACGTCCTCCGCCGTCGTCCAGAACAACGGCAACCCCGTCAACAGCGGCAACAAGAACATCCCCTTCGTCAACGCCGCGTATGGTCTCGGACTTCCAGAAGCGCACCATGGATGAGAATCGAGGAGCACAAGCTACGAGTCTCAGCATACTGTATCATACTGACAGAGCTCTTTTTGGTGCCTTGAAGCCCTTGACAGAGCTCAGATGAAGGACTAATTGCCAAAAGTTTCTTCCTCCAGGGCGAGTTATTTTTTGTGACAGGACATCTGTTCTTTCGTTACGGTTTCTTCGATACATAAAGTTCGCCATAGAATTACATGGTAGCCTTTCAGCGAACAGTGAGAGGTCTACATGTCCCTCTTCCTAATGTTGTTCTTGAAACCCATCCAGCTTCATTTTACGTAGGATGATGTCATATTATCATGCCATTTCTTTTAGGAGTAGCCATCTCAGAATAGCAGAAAACATCCTTGATTTACTCGTACAATCTCACAATATGCTGATGCGATCATAGCACCTATTAGTACATTACATACACGGCCGAAAGCTGGCACAGTACTTGCAATCACAAACATTGCACGAAACTGCTGGAAGGACAAGAACTGGTAATTGTCGATCTAATGGTAATGGAGCGGCTTATTAAATGAGGTGAACGCTGAACTGGAGTAGAGTCTTGACGCCGTCGGTGGTGTGCTCGTCGCCAGGGTGCAGCGTCTGGATGGCGGCGAAGCCCTTGGCGTGCTGTACTTGCCGGTGCCTCCGATGATGGCGATGTGGAACTCCGGCGCGGCCATGCGGTGGACCCCGAAGAAGCTGAGCGTGTGGCCGCCATGCGGTGCCTCGGGGCCCTCGAACATGGCGGTGAGCACGATGGTCTTGCTGGTGCCGTCCTGCGAGCTGGCGACGTAGAAGCCCTGCGCCCCGCTGATGACCCAGTCATGTCTGTTGCTGCAGCCTGCGCGCCCACGCGGCTCGGGACGACGACGCTCACTTTCGCGGCGCAGATGCCCCCGCCGGCCCCATCGCCGGAGGCCGCCGCTGGCCGTGCGAAGCCCGAGGGGCGCGGCGTGCACCCGCAGCTGTGGCAGGCGTGCGCGGGCTCCCTGTGCGCCGTGCCGCCCGTCGGCGCCGCCGTCTACTACTTCCCGCAGGGCCACGCCGATCACGCAGGCGCCGCCGCCGTGGACCTGCGCGCCGCGGGCGTGCGCGTCTCGTCGTTCGTGCCGTGCCGCGTGGGCGCGCATGCCGGCTGCTGCTGCTGGCCGTTCGCCAAGACGCCGACGTGCCAGCGTGGGCTGCCGCTGCGCCGGCTGCTGCGCTGCTGCTGGCCGTTCGCCAAGACGCCGATGCATGTGCATGCACCTGCATGCATGTGCCACCTGGACCCGGAGGTGCCACGTGGGTTAAAAAATTAAAACAAATGAGATATGGGTTAGGAATGTGCCACTAACAAAGATTATGGATCCAAAAACCCATTTTCAGAGTTGATGGACCTAAGTAAAACTAGAGCACAAGTTGATGGACCACCCATACATTTAACTCATTCTCAATCCATGTACTGCCTTCTATTGCCTATGCTATTTTGCTTGAGAAGTGTGATCATGATGATCTGGGCCTTCTATTGTGAATTGTGATTAGTATTGATTTCACAAGTGAGTTTGCACACTGTTCATGTCCTGTGGGTCGTGGACTTTGTGGCAGACCGGAAGTGTGCACTGAGCGGCAAATTCAAGTGTTTTACCCACCATTCAAATGCTTGTTGGCAACGTTCATAATTTTGTGGGGGCTGTACAATTTATAACAGTTTTTTTAATTTCAGGACCTGTTTTTATTGCTGGATTATTTTTTACCTTGACCGATTTGAAGTGTTTTTACCTTCCATTCAAATGCTAGTTGCTAACGCTCAGAATTTTGTGGGGTCGTACAATTTATAAGAGTTGGTTTCCCGTTTTTTACTTTTTTTTAGGGGAACCCGTTTTTTACTGTATAATACAGTATATATAACCCTGGCGGCCTGGCCAACAAAAGCCGGGCCATTTGGGCCAAATGTCGTTGAGCATGGCCCAACCCAACCCAGTCCGTTGCAATCCGTAGAACAACCACGTGGCGTCCACTCGAACCAATCTTGGCAATCGCCAATCTGCAGCTTCGTCGTCGCTCGTCGCTCGTCGGCTTGTACGCTCCAGCTCTCCTAGATTTGCCTCGACTTGCCGTGCCTACTGCCCTGCGACTGCGAAGAACGGCTGGCGCTCGCCACGCGCGATGTACGGGCTTCCTTCAGCCGCGCGACCGCCGCTACCGTCTCACTGCGCCTGCTTCTCTTCTTCCTCCGTTGCTCGGGCGAAGGCAGCGTCGTCGGCATGCTGCGCCAGCCTAAAGCAGGCGCGCCCAGGCCGAAGTGCTGCCCCTTCCGCCGTCGCCGCGCGCCAGGCCGCGCCGCTCTTGGCTGCAGCGCTCCTCCTTGTAGCTGCACCCCCTGGCCTGCCTGCTGCTATCTCACCAGGTTTCTCCAGTTCTTGCTTGTTATAAGATGCACAAACCTATTGCTTTTATTGTTGTGTGTATTCGCTGCATTGCGTAATTGCATGTGAAATCGCTGCTTGTACTAGTGGTTTCTTCGAATTTGTAGACACCATATCTACTGTTCCGTGTCATTCGGGTTTGGTTGTTGGTTACTTACTGAACAGTGGCAGACTGGTAGTTGGCACTTGGTTCTCACGCACGCATGGTTGGTGCGGGTCTGTAGTGCACACATTGCGGTTGCAGTGGTGGCTTAGGGGAGGTGGATGAACAGGAAAGGTGCGATTTCTATAGAATTAGCTGAAGAACATAAGTACTTGCTCCGCAATCTGCAGGCATGAAAGCAACTCTATCATCACATACTGAAACTTGCTCGCCTAATCTTGAAAGAAAGAAAGATGAATCTAGCATAATGCATATTACACAGGACGTTCACACTAGTTGGAATCCAGGCTGATCAGTGGTTTTTTTGCCCCATGGTGCAGCATTTGCGCAACCAGTTTCAGAAGGCGCAGCGCTGTTCCGGAAGGCTTGTATCGGTTGCCATGACATGGGAGGAAACATCCTACAGCCAGTGAGTTGCTGAAATCCTTGCGCGGAGCGCACCCTTACAAGTTTTAGGCATAGTTTGTTCTAGCCATCCTGCTCGATCGTGCCCAGGGAGCTACTCTTTTCCTGAAGGATCTCGAGAGGTATAGCCTTGTAACCTGTCACACACATACGGCAAACTGAAGAATGTGCTGCGGTTTTACACTTTTACCGCTCCCTGTTACTGATGCAAAGGCAGCAAACTTGTTGCAGAAATGGAGTTGCGACGGAGGAGGAATTGTATAACATCACATACTATGGGAAAGGAAGAATGCCTGTTAGTTCTCGCTTCTGCAACGATCAACCTATGTGTTCTTGAATCAGCAAAAGCTAATACTGTACTTGTTTATGAGAAGTAGAAAATGAATTTTAATAGCAGCTTGTTTCGTTTTGATCAGGGGTTTGGAGAGAAATGCACCCCAAGAGGACAGTGCACCTTCGGCCCCCGGCTATCGGAAGATGACATCAAGCTCCTAGCTTCGTTTGTAAAGTCGCAAGCCGAGAACGGGTGGCCAAAGATCGAGGGCGATGGAGATTGATCAACTGACAAACGACGAGAACACAGTGCTTGTTAGTCAGATGAAAATGGCGATTGGAAGATAGTGTTTGTATTGTTTATAGGAATTAGGACTTTCTGAACTTGTAACCTCCTGGTCTGTGTTTCTGTTTTCTGAACTTCAGGCAGAGTGCCAGAGTCCACATTTCAGTTTCCAGCCAGACGAACGAAGCGAGGTCCTGACAAATCGCAGTCGCAGCTCAACTTCCTGAGTTCGGTTGGTGACGCCGCGCGAACTGCTACCAGGCGTCGGCGTGGTTTAAACACGAAGAAACCCACGTCCTCCTCCGTCGTGCGGCTGCTGCTAGTGCGGGGGGAGGTGGGGAGGGAAAGCGGCGTCGCAACTCCCCCGCCTCGAACCGACATGCTGCCGCGCACGCACTCCCACCAGGCGCGGCGGCGCTCCGGCCTGGGCCCGCAGCTCTGCGCCGCCGCGGCCGCGCTCCTGCTGCTCCTCTCCCTCGCCGTCCTCCACTCGCGCCTCTCCTCCTCGTCCTCCTCCCGCTTCCCCACATCCGCCTCCCGCTCCCGCTCCTCCACGCCCGCCGCCGACAACAACTCCTCCGCTCTACTCGCCGACGAGGAGGACGAGGACGTGGCCGCCGCGCTCGACCCGCTGCTCACCGTCGCCACCACCACCACCGCCGCCACCGAGGGCGATTCTCTCGCCAACCCCGACGACGACCGCATCGATGAGCTCGACGTGTTGGACGAGGACGCCGCGGGCGCCGACGCGGCCGACTCCGCCTCCGCCTCTACGGCGGGGGCCGCCACGCCCCTCGTCTGGGACCACGTCGCCGGCGCCGCGCGCCTGCCGTTCCGCCTCCCCGCCTCCGGCGAATCCCTGCCCGCGGGGCTGCCGCGCCTCGACTCCCCGCGCCGGATAGCTGCCGCGGCCTTCGGATCGGACGATGAGCTGGTGGATCTGGAACTGCGGGTCGAGATCTCGTCCATCGCCGGTATCGAGGACGCGCTGCTCCTGAAGCCCGCCTCTGGTAAGGCTGCCGAGACGCGGCTCCGTTCCGGGTGGGCGAGCTGGCTGGAGGGGAAGGCCGACTACCTACGGCGCGATCGGATGCTCCGCTCCAACCTGGAGTCCCTCAATCCGCGCAACCACCCGCTGCTCCAGGATCCGGACAGCCCTGGCCTCACCTCTCTCACCAAAGGCGACCGCATGGTGCAGCGAATGCTACTGGCCGAGCTCGACAAGCCCGCGTCCAAGAGCTTGGAGCGGCGTAGGCTTCTATCTTACGAGAACAAGCAGAGCATGGGAACTGTGAAGGAGAAGCCGCAGAAGGGAAGGAGGTGGGGATATTTCCCGGGGATTGATCCACATTTGGGATTCTCAGAGTTTATGGAGGGGTTCTTCGAGCATGGGAAGTGCTCCATGAAGGTGTTCATGGTGTGGAACAGCCCGCAGTGGGCGTATGGCATCAGGCACCAGAGGGGACTGGAGAGTCTGCTCAAGCAGCACCCAGATGCCTGTGTAGTCATGCTATCGGAGACACTGGAGCTAGAATCCTTCCAGCATTTCGTCAAGGAAGGGTATGTTATGCTGATACACAACTGTAGTCTTAAGATGTTAGAATGCAAATAATCTTAATAGTTAATTTTAGCAAGTGACAGGCTGACCTAGACCAAACAAGAAATGCATTATTCCAACCCGAAAACGTGAGGCATCTTTGAGAGGAATTCGGAATTGGTATGTAGGAGTATCATATAAGATTTAAATAGTATTTAAAGGCCATATACCATTTAGATATTTTATGACATTGATTGCATCTAGTGCTCTATGAGAGAAAAAAAAACAGGATGCAGTATTATCGATTCTCATCTGTCTCGTATTTATGTACTGTTTTGCACAATGAGAAAAATATAGGATGTTGTTATCAGTTATCAATTGTTTTCTCAATTTTCATTGACAAGTGAACAACGATCTTTTAACCATGGTTAGCTGTGGCACATCTTTTCCTGATGATACGATTCTAGTTTAAGTTATATAATTTCTCAAGTCTCACATATGATATATTTTGATACTTGATTAACCTTTGCTGCTTGCCAGTTGCCACCCAACTTTCAAAATTTTCCACCATCTTATACTCTTTCTTGGAGGGAAATTATAGGGTGCTCAGGGGGGCTGGCGCCCTCTTTAGCTAAAATATCATGTTTCAATGTTTCAAAAATTCATCACAAAAATCATGTATGCAATACACCTAAAGTTAAGTGTAGCAGCAACAATTCTGTTTGAAATTCATCTTTGATGTTGACATTCAAAAAACACAAGTGTTACTGTCAGCGCATGATGAACAGTGCCAGGTTGACTGCTTGTCTATTTTTGTTTCTTGATATCTGTTAGGGTGAATTTCAAACTGAATTGTTGCAACTATACTTAACTTTATGTGTACTGCATACATGATTTTTTTGTTGATTTTTTGAAACATTGCAACATGTTATTTTAGCTTACGAGGGCGCCAAATCTGCTCCCCCCTTTAATCTGCAGTTTCATGATTGTGGTCCAGGAAGTTAGGCCAACAAGATCCACATTATATTGCTTTCTTGTTTATAGTTCTGTATAGAGACTGATTGCTATGCATGAGCTAGTGTAGTGCAACTAGTAACTTTTGTAATTGGAATGACATTTTATCTTAATTTCCGTTTATTTACTGCCACTATTCTAAAAGGCGGTCGTCTATCCTGTCTATGCAGCACATAGGCACTAGGAACCAGCAACCTGGTCTGCCTAGCAGCCCTGAGACACTAGCAGACACTCCATCGCTTGACTAGCATCTAGTGTGTTTTTCTTTTCAGAGAAAAAAGGAACCATTTAACATTAGCTTTGTGGCAAGTCATAGTTGGCGGTGTATTCTTTGTTGGAACATTAATGGAATTGTATTGTTACTATCTACTAACTGCAGGAGCCAAATGGTGCATTTTCAGTTGAACCTCAATTATATAATTAAGCTAACTCAACTATTCACGTAAGAGTTACATCTGAATGCTTAAAAATTTAGACATTGTGACTTGTATGGACTTTGCATGAGATGCACTAATGCTATGAGCCTTACTTGTAATCCTGTTTATCAATTGTAATTGTTCTAGCTACATTCATGTATACGTGTGTATTTTTAATTATAAAGTTTATTTCTCTTGCAGATATAAAGTTGCTGTTGTGGTACCGAATCTTGATGAACTTTTAGAAAGCACTCCAACCCATGTATTTGCATCAGTGTGGTTTGAATGGCGGCAGACAAAATATCACCATTTGCACTACAGTGAGCTAGTACGCCTTGCTGCTCTTTACAAGTAAGATGATATAAGAATTACAGTACATTAGTTTAGGAAGTTGGGAGGCATGCATTGTTTGCTTAACATTCTATTAGAAAAATACTATTGTGTCTTGAGAGATAATGCTGCATCTTTATATTTGAGGAGAGAAATCCTTTGCAGTAACTCTTGGCAAAATAGTTACCTTAGGAAACAGATTATGAACGATTTTGATTAATCTAGCACTCTTTATCAGCTCAGACTGCAACTTGGTTTGAGTAAACAACATCATAAAGGGAAATCACCAGCTGGAAATCCAGTTTTATTTTACAAATAACTATGCACAATCAAGCATCCTCCGGTCCTAATCCTGAATTAGAAGTTCTGTTGACAAGCAGCAGAGAATCTGACAAAGGTGGTTTAAGGAATGGAATGTGCTTCATGTCCTAATCCTGAACCTTACCAGCTGACTTGGTTTGGGGAATGGAATGTGTTTACTGTCCCCACCTCTTCCCTCACAAGCACAAGGCTGTATGGAAATTTGGACTATTGTGACCCTACAAAAGCAAACAGAGGATCCCATGATGGAATAACTAGTCCTAGAATTAGGTGACCTGTCAAACGAAGCACCCTCTTAATGGATGCAGTTGTGCCCTCAAATTATTACTACTAGATCCCCTTATAGTTGTGAAGTAAACTTTAGCTGTACCCACTGATTCTCAGTTCTTGACCCATTTGTTTTAGTTAACTTTAGACAATGAGGTGTCATCTACAGATAATGTCCTTATTTTTCAGAGCTGATCGGCTGAACAATAGAGAATAATGTAAGACTAAAACATTGCCCTCAAAGAAAAAGAGACAAACCATACAAATCGTTACCAACCTTCCCATAAATAGAGAAAATAATTGATCGGCAAATAATGTCTGAACTTTCTTGCACTAAATAGCTTCAATCTTGCTTTTATGAAACCTGTAATATGGTACATATGTTTTCATGAACATTGATGGATGTGACACTGGTATTCATCAAAATTTGGAACATAAATGTAATCTTGACTCTTGAGAACATTATTTGTTCCCCTTGCTTTGATATGATTAACTTATTTCTTTATGCTTTATGTGCAGATATGGTGGAATATACCTTGACTCTGATGTTATTGTACTTAAACCTTTAACATCGCTCTGGAATTCAATTGGTGCCACAAATCATGTCTCTGGAAATTCCAGTTTTGGTGCTGCTGTGTTAGCATTTGAAAAACAGAGGTAAAAGTGTTCCATTATTTTATTTTGAAGAAAACTTTTTAAAAAGGGCTATACCCAGTGCTGAAAGCTCTAGACAGACTTATTACCCTTTCATTTCTGCAAGGAGGCTGGTTCAGTTTTGGATAAAACTACATTTAACTCATTTTATACCATCACATAACAAACAGATGAAATCCACATCTACTAATGTTCTATTGATTCACACAGAAACATGGGACAATATCCATCCTTTTCCTTTACAACACTAAGATACTAAAAAAATCATTTGTAAATAGGTGTCAGATTGGAAGAGCTACATTATTGACTGGCTATGCTCGTGCACGTATAGAGTTTCTCACTTAGCTTGTGCTGGTTGCAGCCCTTTATTGGAGGAGTGCCTTAAGGAATTTTATTCGACATATGATGATACCCTCGTGCAGTGGAATGGGGCTGAACTTATGACAAGAGTGATAAGCAACCTTTCTAGCAAAGCAGATGAAAATAGGGGGCATCTTGACATTAAGTTGGAGCCCTCAGTTAAATTTTACCCTATAAGCTCTACTGATATTATACGGTATGATTTCAATTCATCCATTTGTGCTTGCAATACCTATTTTTGGTCAATTTTACTATCCAGAAGCTAGATTAACAGTTTTCTGTTGTCCATCTCAACGAGAAAGATAATTTCAAACTATAATATTCTGTATCTATTGTATCAATCTTTTATCCTCTTTTTTTAATCCTGAATGGCATACCTTATTTGTCACGCTCAACCACCTTACGGCCCTTGCATGTTCTTTATATTTATTTCTTATATGTACCTCTTCATATGTTTGACTGGAAGCTGAGTACTAGTTACGGATTCAAGATATTCATATTCACCATGATGTTGTTGTGCTGCAGATATTTCTCAGAGCCAGATAACATGGTCCAAAAAGCACATCATGATGCAATCTTTTCTAGGATCGTGAATGACTCTATCACTTTCCATTTTTGGAATGGCATCACATCTGCACTGGTGCCTGAACCCAGCAGTCTTGTTTCGAAAATCCTTGACCGTTACTGCATCCGTTGCCTTGATGTTTTATAGTTGCAGCAGCCATTTTGGTTTAGAACACATACACAGAAGAAATCTTTCATTGGGTACTCAGAATGGCTATGTTATATTGCTGAATCTTACAGAACATTGTGGTGGGGAAAAATACCGGCAGCATTGTGTATATATTCTTTTCACCAAGGCTTGTGCCGGAGCTGCGCCTGCAAGCAAGTGCAAGCATGTTGACTTGACTAGTTATTTTACCAGTTGTCGATAGCAAAAATCTTCATACTGGCAATACAGACTGCAAGAACTCAAGGCATTTGGAACTGAGAGTTTTGACTAGTTCGGTACCCTTCTATATTTGCACATATACTGATAATTTTCACAATTTGATATTTTTAAAATGACATGATTGATGTAAGACAGGTTAGTAGAAATTAAAGGTCCATGTACCGAATTCCCTGGTTTATCTAGATCTCTCGTAAGCTTTTATTTCTCAGAGCATGAAAATGTCTGAATTAACGACTCGGGAACAAGCATGTCAGCACATAATTATAGTACCCGTCTTTTAAAAAAAAAAATTACACAGGCTCATAATGCATGCACACTCACTCCTATAAACACATGCATATAAATCCTATCCCTATAAGCTCCATTGAAGACTGGGTCGGCAATACTCAAAGCAGAATTGTTTGCTACTACCTCTCTAAATTATAAGACATTTTGGCTTTTTCTGTATACATTGTTTTATCTATGTCTATGTATGTTTAAAAAGGCCAAAATATCTTATAATTTGAATGGAGGGAGTATAATGTAAGTTATGCATTTTTCAAAAGCTTACTGTCTATACATGTAAACTGAAGAGACGACGATGAGGACAATATAAACTACTAGCCCTTATCGTCAACACATACACACTTTGTTACACGTAACATGTCTAACGAGTAACGACGCGCCAACTTTTTCGTGAGATATTCGTGCTTTCCAAAAAGGCAGCTCAGTCCGTCGTAGGCAGGCGCCGTCTCTTGTAGCTGATGATCACCTTCCCCTGCGGCCCTGGCATGACCACGTTCCAGTCCGTCCTGGGGAACGGGGACACCAGCTCCATCTCGAAGTTCCTCAGCAGATGGCTCCATATCAACTTAAGCTGCATGTACGCGAACGCCTCGCCGACGCAGAGGTGCCTTCCTGCGCCGAAAGACAAGTAGGCTAGCGCGCCGCCGGCCTTGTCCTCCGCTCCCCGCGGCGCTAACCGATCCGGGTCGTACTTGTCCGGTTCGTCGTAGATGTGCGGCAGCCTGTTGTGGAGCACCAGCGGGCTGGCGACCGCGTGGCCCTTGGGCACCTCGTACTCGCGGCCGTCCCTGGTCAGCACGGTGAAGCTCTGCCGCGCGTGGCGGAGCAGCATCAGCGCGGGAGGGTGCAGGCGCAGGGTTTCCTTGACGCAGCGGTGCAGGGTGTCCATCTCCTGCAGCACGTCGTAGTCGACGCGGTCCCCGTGCCGCGCCACGATCCGCCGCTGCTCCTGGACGGCGGCGCGCAGGTGCTTGGTGTGGGTGAGGAGGCGCGCCCCAGTCCAGGTGCCCGCGCTGGAGCTGTTGTGCTGCCCCGCGAAGAGCGCGGAGACGAGCATCCCGACGACCTCCGTCTCCGTCGTCCCACGGCCGTCCTTGTACCGGGCGTCGAGCAGGCACTGCAGCATGTCGTCGTCGGCTTGGCTGTCGTCGTCGGTGCGGCTCTTGCGGGACCTTACGATCTCGGTGAATATCTCGCCTAGCCTGGCGCGCGCCGCGTCGCGCCGGCGGTGCGCGGGGATGGGCAGGTGAGGGAACAGGATCGTGACGAGGCGCATGCCGTCGTTGAGCTCGCGGAGCAGCGACCCGACCTCGCTGAACATCTTCTCCCGGACGGCGGCGCCGAACAGGCACCGGCTGGTGATGAGCGTCACCAGGTGCTCTAGCTCCTGCTTCAGATCAACGGTGCCGGACTGCCCCCACCTCGCAAAATGACTCTGCACAGTACATGCGTGTACTTAGGCACCGTTTGATTTGCAGCAGGAGAAATTATATTTACGCGAGCTTACCTCGACTTCAAGAACCATGAGGCTGACATAGGTCCTGAGCTTCACCGGCTTCAAGGCGTCGCCGAAGAACCGGAACTGCTCATGCCGAGTGGCGTAATCGACGTCAAAGGCGATGCCAGGGCCGAAGGTGGGGATGGTGAACCGAGAGACCTCGTCCTGGCTGATCTCGGAATCCAGGCCCCGGTAGAAATGGCTCGACACGTCTGGCCCGACCAAGAAGGTGAGCTTCAGGTGAAACAGGCGCACGGTGAAAACGCTCCCCAGCCTCGTGTAGTGGTCGCGGATCAGGGCCAACGGGCCCTTGATGAGCAGCGCTGGCAGGTCGCCGAGAAGAGGGACCCCCGGAGACACGGGCGGAGGTGGGCGCTTCGTTGTCGTCGGACCGGCAGCTGATTGTCGTCGTCGTCCTGTAATCTTGGTCGCTGCTACTATGGCGATGGAAAAGGCAGCAAAGACCAGTGGCCATATGGTTGTCGGTAAATCCATGACGACGATGGCACTGCAAGTACATGGCATTTGAAGTGGCTAGTGTTATTTATGTCTGTGTCAAGATAAATCATAGCTAGGGCTAGCTGTTTCTTTTATGTTATTATTATCATTGTCTCGGGTCGCAAATGTAAGCGGTTTTGTGTTTTGCCTTAAGTCAACTTTTCAAGGTTCTTGTTTTACAACACGGTACGTGTAATATGATTCTATCTTATTTATAACAACAAAATGGATAAGTCAGACATTCTAAGACTGCATTTGGATCGAGACCAGCCGCCGCAATTTGTCAGGATGCTGTACAAATAAATAGCTCATGCGTAGTTCATTTTCTAGCCGATTCCATGCCAATTTTGGGTGGTCGATTCCTGGGCCAGACCTTGGCCGTCCAAATTGGTTTTGGCAAGACATGTGTGGGCAGCAACCAAATTAAATGTGCCCTAAATATCATTCAATGGTTGACAACGAACAACATCTTTACAACGCGGAGAATGACGTTTATAAGAGTTTTCTCTCGTGCTGACAAAATGTCTGTTAATTACTATACATGGCATCTTTCACTCCTCCATCTAAGAAAAAAAAAATCCTATTGTACACGCCTTATAAGGTTCATAAAAATACTATAGATTCATGAGGACAAGTAGTTTAATAATATAGGAGTATTTATTCTATTTGAGATGGTATATATTTTTGTGGGCATCATATACCCTGATGAATGCCCTATTATGGCGTTTGGGATTTATTTTTTTATTGCGGAAAATTTTATTTGAACCAGTTGTAATCATTAGTTGTAATCCTAGTTGTCATCATTTAACTCGCAACTAGTTGTAATCATTAGGGTCTGAGGACGATGTGCCAAAAACATGGGTGCCTTCACGGCAGTCACAAAAAAGACGTACTTCTGTCAAACTTACGTTGACGACTATCTTGTCTCTTATATATTCAAATTCAAAATAATCATGTGTAGATTTATCCTAGAGAGTAACTGCGTAGCCTTATTTATCTTTGGTTTCATAAATGTACACAAGTACTCCCTCTGTTTTAAATTATAAGCCGCTTTGATTTTTTATACATCTAATTTGCTTATATCTAGATACATAGCAAATTGTATGTAAAAAAAAGTCAAAAGGACTTATAATTTAGAACGGAAGGAGTAGGTAGGAGTAGTGAAAATTACATTTTGAACCTTTAAAACAATAGCTTTTCTACTGGATTTAATATTTGTTTTTTTACAAAAAATGAGTTTGTGTTGTGCGTGGTTTTCTACCGCCTTATTTCTATCGGTGTACCGACAGAGAAATTAATTTTCCAATTTTTCTATCGGTAATTGTTATTTTCTTATCGGTTTCCCACTGACAGGACAATTCAAGCCTAAGGGCCTATTCGACAGGACTGAAAAATACTGTTCCGGTTGATTGTTGTGAGAGAAAAATACTGTTCTGGCAGGATATGAACAGTGCCCCCGCTGAGTGCCCTAGCTAGCCCCAGCCAGCCGAATAAGCCAGCCGAACAAGCTATAAAGTAGTGACAGGAAATGGTACAAAAATATATCTAGGGGCTAGGGCCCAGCCCCCGGCCGCGCCGCAAGTGCTGCGGACGGTTCGTCCGCCATACATTTAGCAAGCCCGTGGCGAAAAAAAAAAATGAACTGACTATGCGTGCCCAGCGGCTGGCGATGCCAAACCTTTGGGCTTCAGCAGCTAACCAAACAAGCGATGCAGACGTGGCGCGAAACTTGTGGTGCGATGCGGCGACTTCTGGTTACGAACCAAACTGCCCTAAAACCAAATATGTATAACAAGATGGTGTAACAGTCTACGACACTTTTTAAGTCCGAGACGCAAAAAGAAAAGAATTAATCACTGACCAAGTAAAACACCCCCCCACGCCACCAGCAAGTGACTATAATATAAAACTGAATAACATGACAATATATAAAGATGCATTTTCAGAACTTTGTAAAGCTAGACTACGTGCTAGACCACTCTACGTACCCAAGAGAGCTGCATATATACACATGGCAGTACCACAAAGGAAGAAAGATGCAGCTGCGAAGAAAACGTTATTAGGGCTTACAGCTAGCTAGAGATTCAGTTTTGGTGGAGTGTAGAACTGTAGATGCAGCCTTCACTCCTTCAGTGACTTCTCGCGTTGATGTAATGGAAGCGGCTTAGACTTACTATGTGTCTAACCCGAAAAGAAATGCTAGCTAGCTATAGCTTGCCCTGCAGCCTTAGCTTGAGCTACTTGACGATGGATGCAGTAAGGAGAACGGTATTTATAGATGAACCGAGCCAGAGAGGTCACCTCGAAATCATTATATGCCTACTGGCGTTTTACTCTAAAATCTAGTTCGGCGTGTATATCAATTTAGGTGCGGCCAACAGTGATGGGCACACGTGTGCCACGTGCACAGAGGATTCGTAAGCCGTGTTTGGGAGCGTGGTTACCCACCGCCTCAATTTTTTATAATTTAGCTTTTTTTTTAAAGGAAAATTACGATTGACCTAAACTCATATTTGGACCATAAGGGTCGGTGCCAGAATTCATGACGCCGAGGTAATACGTCTCGACGCCATAGATTTTGACTTTGAGGTGCCTGGCCGGGCACAGCAGAGCATCTTAAGTGGCGTTGACGTGGCCGATATCTCAATGCCAGAATACATGGCTCCGAGCACGGCGCGAAAGATCTTGGCGCCGATCTCGGAGCCGTCAGATGATGTGCTGCGACGGAGGTGATGAGACGTGCAAATGGTAGTAGTAAGCCCACACACCACACACCGCTCTCCTCTCCTCCCCTCTGACACGGACTGCCCCATGCGCACGTGCGGTGCATGCTGCTTTTGCCCCTGCAGGAAAGCTGTAGCGTCAAATCATCTAGCCGCGTTGGGCTGCCACCTGCTGAGTCCGCGCATGGGAGGAGATGTGAGGGAGCGGCGTGGGCCCCAGCTGTCCGCGTTGAGAGGCAGGACGCATGACCGGTGCATGCGGACCCGTGGTGCAGACGGGTGCAGGTACATGCTGTGCTATGGTCCCGCCATCACATCACCTCGCTCTATGTACATGTACCTGTTCATGGATATTCATTCTGCATCTAGCCCTTACTCATGTACGTATATGTATATTCATTTCTTTAGTAAGAGCATGCTACATTTCATTCAGCCATATTTTACTACTTTAGTTTAGGTGTAAGTTCTGTATTTAACTGGTGTAAATTTTTGATATTTTTGAATTTGTTCCAATTTGTTTGTTATAGAACTAATCTGGTTTTTTTTCTATAATTTTTTTTAATTTGTATGTTCTATTTGATATTTTTGAATTTCTTCCAATTTGCCATTCATAGAACTAATATGTTAAATTTGTATGTTTTATTTGTTTTCTATCTGGATTTCTTTCAATTTGCATTCCATAGAATGTAATCTGACAAACCAAATTAAAGAGAACATATAACTATAAATGATCACATATCAGATTTAATTCTATGGAATGCAAATTGACCAAGTCACACTAGATTTCCATAGCCGCACACTCAACGTCTAACGAACCAAATTAAAGAGAACATATAACTACAAATTATCACATATCAAATTTAATTCTATGGAATGCAAATTGAAAGAAATCCAGATAGAAAACAAATAAAACATACAAATTTAACATATTAGTTCTATGAATGGGAAATTGGAAGAAATTCAAAAATATCAAATAGAACATACAAATTAAAAAAATTATAGAAAAAAACCAGATTAGTTCTATAACAAGCAAATTGGAACAAATTCAAAAATATCAAAAATTTACACCAGTTAAATAAAGAACTTACACCTAAACTGAAGTAGTAAAATATGGTTCAATGAAACGTAACCTGCTTTTACTAAAGAAATATCCATGAACAGGAACCGGTACATAGAGCGAGGTGATGTGATGGTGGGACCACAGCACAGCATGCACCTGCACCCGTCTGCACCGCGGGTCCGCATGCACCTGTCATGCGTCCTGCCTCTCAACGCGGACAGCTGGGGCCCATACCGTCCCTCACATCTCCTCCCATGCGAGGACTCAGCAGGTGGCAGCCCAACGCGGCTAGATGATTTGACGCTACAGCTCTCCTGTAGGGGCAAAACAACGTGCACCGAGCGCGCGCATGGTGCAGACTGGCAGGCACCTGTCATCCGTGTCAGAGAGGAGGAGTGGAGAGCGGTGTGTGGTGTGTGGGTCTGCTAGCGCTTGCACGTCTCATCACCTCCATCGTAGCACATCATCTGACGGCTCCGAGGTCGGCGCTAAGATCTGCGGCGCCGTACTCAGAGCCATGTATTCTGGCGTCGAGATACCGACCACATCAACGCCACCTAGGATGCTCTGTTGTGTCCGGCCAGACACCTCGGAGCCAAGATCTGTGACGCCGAGACATGTTACCTCGACGCCATGAGTCCTGACGTCGATCCCCAGGGTCAAAGATAAGTTTAAATCTCTCAGAGAGTCAAACGTAAATTTTCTTCAAAAAAGAATCAAATTATAAAAACTTGGGACCCACCACACGGTGCGGTACACGTACTGCGACTCTTGCACCGCGGTGCCGAAAACGCAGGTGCAAGTTCATTTCTGCGGTTTCGATAATGTGTGCTGGGAAAAATCATCGGAGTGCAGCAGCATTTGGCGCGACTCTCAGATTGTTTTCACCGCCGCAAGGAACACGGTCCCAAACACGCCCATAATATAACCTCAGCACTGTTCAGTACTCCTCGCTTTACTACATCCAAACAGTGTTCATTTTTCATTCACGGGTTTTCAATGTTTGAACATTGTTGGATTCATCGCTTAAGTGGATATGATAGACGAGACCCAGATGTCAGCAACAAGGCTCAATCTTAAAAAAATCATATTTTTTCACATTATTTTGAATGAAAATGATTTTTATATACAAATTATAGCTCTCGACGAGAACTATAACTTTATAGTTTTGACTTTTATTATTTGAGATAGTTAAGATGGTTAAAATAAAAAGC